TTCATCTCTCATACTTAGAACATATTGTCAGGAGGGACCAGTCGCTAGAGAAGGAGATCATGTTTGGTAAGGTGGAGGGTCAGAGAAAAAGAGGAAGACCCCCAGCAATATGGATTGGCCAAGTGGCAGTTTAAATGGGCTCAAGCATGGTAAAATAGTGAGGTTGGCCCAGGATCTGGCAGTGTTTCATTCTGCTGTGCATAATAAGGTCGCTATGAGTTGGTACCGACTCAATGGCACCTAACAACAACAATCATAAAGTACCATGAAAGTACTTTTGAACATAAAAAGTAATCAATAAACTGGACTGTCTCAGGACTCTAACTAGCTCATTTGTTCATTTCACCATTGTTTATTGAGCTCGTACTGGGTGCTGATGAGTACAAAGATAAATTAGACATAGCCCCTTCCTTTAAAGTGTTTTTTTGTTATTAGAGAAACTCAAAATAACTGAACCCTAAAGTTCTACATCAATAGTATTGCATTGACAGGGAGCTGCCAGAAACCTAAGCCAGATTCAAGAAGAGGACGTGGAATGAGGGATATCATTGCTCATATCTGATGGGTTTTGCTTAAAAGCAGAAAATACCAGAAAGGTATTTACTTGTGTTTTATTAACTATGAAAAGTCATTCAGCTGGGTAAATAATAACAAATTACAGATAACATTACAACATTGTGAATTCCAGAACACTTCATTATGCTTATTTGGATTCTGTACATACACCAACAGGCAATTGTTTGAACAGAACAACAGGATTACTGTGTAGTTTAAACTCAGGAAAGGTATGTGTCAGGTTTATATCCTTTCACCATACTTTTCAGTCTGTAAGGAGCTGTGGTGGTGCTATGGGCTAGGCAATGGGCTGCTCACCACCAGACCGATGGTTCAAACCTACCAGCTGCTCTATGGGAGGAAGATGAGACTGCCTACTCCCCAAAAATTTACAGATTCAGAAACTAAGAAACATTTCCATGGTGTCCTGTATAGGGTCACTATGAGTCAGAATCGATTTAGTGCAGAGGGTTCATTTAGTCTGTATACTAAGCAAGTAATTTAAGAAGCGGGACTTTATGAAGAAGAATGTGACATCAGGATTGGAGGAAGACTAATTAACACCTTCAGTTTGCAGACGACAACTTTGTATCCAGAAAGTCAAAAGGACTTCTTGAAGCATTTACCGAAAATCAGACTACAGCCTTCTGTGTGGATTATACCTCACCATCAAGAAAACAAAAATCCACAAAAATGGATCAATAAGTATTATGATAAATGGGAACAAGATTGAAATTGTCAATAATTTAATTTTACTTGGAGTTACAATTAATGCCCACGGAAGCAACAGCCAAGAAATCAAATGATGCATTTCATTGGGCAAATCTGCTGCATAAGACCTCTTTAAGGTGTTCCAAAGCAAAGATGCCACTTTGAGGATTAAAGTGCACCTGGCCCAAACCATAGTATTCTCAACTGCCTCATTTAAAGCTGGATAATAAGGAAGACCAGAGAAGAACTAATACATTTGAATTATGGTGTTAGCAAAGAATATTAAATATACCAACTAAAACACAACTGTGAATGTGGTAGAATATACAGCAGGCAAGAGGATGAAAACTTCTTAGGTATTATCAAACATCTACAGCAACAAGTAGGTGAGCCTGGGGGCTCAGGACCACAGTCTTATGACACCATGGTCAGTGGCATAGCATAATCCACAGAGCTAGTGTTCTACATCCTACTTTGGTGAGTAGCTGTCTAAGGTGCAGCTGTTGGTCTCTCCTTGTGCAGAAGGAAGACGAGTGATAAGAACTGAAGAGGCTTAGAATCAGTTAGTCCAGTGGACTAATGGAACATGTGAACATCAATCTTCACGACTCTGAGAACAGAACTAGATGGTGCCCAGCTACCACTACCAACCACTCCGAAAGGAATCACATATGAAGTTCCCAGAGAGAGCGGCAGAATATGGGGAAGAAAACTAAAAATTATTTAAAAAAAAAAGACCAGGCTTATTGGTTTGAAAGAGATTGAAGGAACCTGAGACTGGCCCTTGACTCTTCAGGTCAGAAAGGAACTCATCCGCATGGCCTAACTTTTAGCAAGTAGCAGATTAGGTATATTGGGGAAACAATAACACTAGTATTGTATGCTCGCTATGAATGATGGAATGGTCAGTCATTGAAAATCACAGGGGCAACATGTACCTAAGGACAAAGGTGAGAAGGGATGGGAAGGTGGGCAGAATAGAGATGGGAGCCACAGGGAGGAAGTGGGATAAATAATGTTGCATGAAACAAAGTGTACTTTTTTAATGTAAAATTGATGATCTTGTATGTAATCCTTCACTCAATTCTCAATAAAATGTATAGATAGATATGCTGTTTGTTGTTGTTGTTAAGTGTCATCGAGTCAGTTCCGACCCACAATGAACAGGGTTTCCAAGGCTGTAAATGTTTACGGGGACAGAAAGCCTTATCTTTCTCCCACGGAGCAGCTGGTAGTTTTGAACTGCTGACCTTGCAGTTCGCAGCCCAATTTCTAACCATTAAGCTACCAGAGCTCCTTATAGATAGATATAGTTGTTGCTAAGTGTCACTGAATTAGTTTCAACACAGGGTGAGCTTGAACTGCCAACCTTGTGGTTCACACGGACTGTGCAGTCCAGCACATTAACCTGCAGCGCCACAACAGCACACACACATACATTTATACATTCATACCATGGACTGCCAGACAAATGAACAAACCTATCTTGGAGGAAGTTCCGCCAGAATGCTCCTTAGGAAGAATGGCAAGACTTGTCTCACATACCTTAGACATGTGATCAGGAAGGATCAGTCCCTGGAGAACGATATTGTTGTTAAGTGCCGTTGCATTGGTTCCAACCCATAGCGACCCTGTATTGGGGTTCCAAGGAGTGGCTGATGAGATTGAGTCACCGACCTTGTGGTACAAACTGACTTTGCAATCCAGCGTGTTAGCCGATGGCACCATACCAGGACTCCATATCATGCTAAAAAAAAAGGAAGACTCTCAATAAAATGGATTACTATACAGTGGCTATACCAATGGGCTGAAACATAGGAATGATCGTGAGGATGGTACAGGACTGGGCAGAGTTTCATTGTAGGGTCACTAGGAGCAAGAGCAGATTCGATGGCACCAAACAACAAAGTTGAGACAGGGCTTTTGATTTTTCAAAAGAGATCAATAACTGTGTGTGTAAAAATTCATTTGGAGAGCATATGTTTATGGAGAGCTTTCAAGGTTCTGTGCTAGTAGCTACATTTACATGTGTTGACTAAAGTTCTCATAACCTGTCAATTCCATTTGAGGAGAGAGAAATCGGCTCATGAAGATTATTTAGAAAGTAACAGAACCTGAGTTTTATCTCTGGTCTGCTGGTTGTAATGTCTACATTTCTTCTCCTTCTCCTTTCTACTTTTCTAAACCAACATTCTGGTTCTGATGACCTCATTTGTTCAGAACGTCATCAAATCCCTATACCAGCATGAGAGCTGTCCCTTATTACTCTTCCATTCCTTCTTCTCTTGTACCCTAATTCACCTGCAATGGCAATGACAAGTTTGCCCAAGGAACCCTGGTGGCTCACCAGGTTAAGCATTGGTCTGCCAACCAAACGTCTGTGGTGTGAACCCATCAGCAGCTCCATGGGAGAAAGATGAGGCACTCTACTATCATAGAGCCTCAGAAACCCTATGGAACATTTACGGTGTCCTATAGGGTCGCTGTCAGTTGAAATCCACATGACAGCAAAATGATTTCCTCATCTCTTAATTAATGGGTCAACCCCACAGGAACGCTCACATCTGTAACCTCATGCTTCCCAGGAAAAGACATCAAGCAAATTGTGGCCACATGCATGGCATGAGTTCTGACTTCACTGCCCTCTTTCTCATTGAACCTTCTACTGCAGTTTAAAGCTTTTCCCTTTGCCACCTCTGTTACTTCTTTTCACACTCACCCACCACCTCATGCACTTCGTTAGGAAAATAAACACATCTGGGTGGAAGGTCTGCTGCCTTACACCAGGGCCCAGCACAGTTGCTTGGTTACAATGGCCCCGTGCTGGCAGTGTGTCCGATGTGTTCATATAGTGGTAGTACTGGCAACCTGAGCTCAGGATTTCTTCAGACATGTTGAGGTTTTATGCTGCTCACTTCTGGGCTATTTTAAAACCCTTTATCATTGACATTTCTGAAGGAAAAATAACTTACCAGTGTTTACAAATTGCACTATTTTCTCAAACTGTGTCAGAATCTCCAGTTCTGACTTTTCATGTTATAAAAGCGCACGTTTGATGCAAGTGACTGAGTATGATTTTAATTCCTGAGATTTTTACCTCTATTTCTCTGGCAGACCAAGAAATTTTACGTAAACTCGAGAAGGAGAAAATCCTGGTGTTCACACCATCGCGGCGCGTGCAGGGGAGACGCGTGGTGTGTTATGACGACAGGTTCATCGTGAAGCTGGCTTTTGAGTCCGATGGTATAATCGTGTCCAATGACAACTACAGGGATCTGGCTAATGAAAAACCAGAATGGAAGAAGTTCATAGATGAGCGGCTATTAATGTATTCATTTGTCAATGACAAGTAAGTAAAACCATTTACTTGCCAGTAATATTGCCTCTGAAAATATTAACTATATGTGGCAACTACTACAAACTCCCTCTCCTTTTGCAACTGAACTGACCTGACAGATTTCTTCCCACAACTGACTTTCCCACTAGTCATCAGTGCAAGACAACACTGCTGAGTCGTGCCTTGGGGGGTGAGGGGGGTTCCGTGTGAGTAGCCATTGAAGTTGCAGGTCTGTGATTTTCCCTTTAGTCACTGATGGGCACGTCAAGCAAAGCGAGTATTCTGAGACTATCTAAGTAACTTGTAGCAGCTGACAGAGGGACAGTTTCCTTCTGCAGAAATTGAAGACTTTGAAAATACTGATGCTCCCAACATGCTGTTGGAAATCTACTTAAGAGCTTTGCTAACTTTCTAAATATGTGATTTTTGTTTACATTACAGAGACTCTGCTCATAATCAAGAGTCTACAAGTTGACAAATAGATAAATGACATGAACAAGCATGTCCCATGAGAAGTATAGTTATAAATATGTAGTTGGAAAATGGCCAACTAACTGTTCTAATCAAAAATGCAAGATGACATCTACAAAGCATTTTTTTTTTTACCCACTTAATTCTCAAAAATATTTTTCTGTGTGCCTTATACTGGTAAAAATGCAGTAAAACTGACACATAATTTGGCATGGTTATCAAAATCCTTAAGAACATTATGCCCTCCCAACTCCCCAGTTCCATTTCTAGGAATATATAATAAGGAAAAAAAGAAAAAGCAGAAATGCTCATTATTGTATTATTTATAATTACAAAAATCACAGACTGTGCAATCGATAAATATGTTAAATGATGCATATTCTAGTGAAAATTTTATGCTGTTTAGAATTATTAGAAAGTATATTATGGAAAATATTTATATGTTAGGAGGACAAAGTATAAATTTTTACTTTTGTTTGATAATGCTATGTAAGGTGGTGCATCTTATGGAAAATTACTAAAATGCAGCACAAACATGGAAAATAGTTGTATTGGGATTGGAATAATGGGATTTTTTTTAAACTTTTAATGTCATTATGTTTTCATAAACATATTCAATACTGTATTTGCTCAGTATTGTTAAAAATCCTATGAAAATTATTCACATTTTATATGTAAATATAAGTACAAACAATAACATAACTAATATTAAACCTCTTCAACAAAATTATGCATGCCATGAGTTCTTTTTGCCTCTACTGGAGAATCCATCCAAAAGGATAAAGTGACTTCCTTAAGGCTTTTCTTTATCAGCTAAGAATCACGCTAGCATTGTCAGAAGAGACTGAGCTTTGGAGCAGCCATAATTGAATCTTAGCTCTGCCATGTGACCCTAGATTAAAATTACTTTACTATCAGTCAGCTGCTAACCTAAAGGTTCAAACTCACCAGCTGCTCAGTGAGAGAAAGACATAACAGTCCGCTTCCAACAAGCTTGTTGTTAAGGGCCATGGGATCAGTTCTGACTAATAGCAACCATGTATAGGGTTACCGAGGAGCAGCTGGTGGGTTTGAACTGCCAACCTTGTGGTTTAAAGTCTAGTGCTGATCTCACAGTGCTGCCAAAAGATTACAACCTTGGAAACTCTAGAGACCTACCCTGTCATATAGGGTCGCTTTGAGTTGGACTTGACTCAAAGGCATTGGGTTTGAGGCCATTCATCTAAGCCTATATTAGAAAAGTTTATGTATCATGTATCTGTGAGTATTAGGATGAAATGAAGATGTGTGTGTAACATATATAGCAATGATGGGGGTGGTGATATGCAGTGGAGTCAGTTCCGACTCATAGCTACCCTGCATAGTGTTTCCGAGGCTGTACATGTTTACAGAAGCAGAAAGCCTCATCTTTCTCCTGAAGACAGCTGGTGGAGTTTGGAACTACTGACCTTGAGGTTAGCAGCCCGACTCGTAACCACTACGCTACCAGAAATCCTTATATAATACAGCAGTGATAGTGCTTGATAAATTTTAGCCCACTAGTTTTACCACCTCTCCTTTTACTCACTCCCCATCTGCTTAATTTCTACTCCACAAGATTTTTGTTAAGTGCCATTGAGTCGGTTCCAACTCATAGCAACCCTGTTTAGCGTCCCCAAGGAGTGGGTTTAAACAGCTGCCCTTGCTGTTAGCAGTCCAGGACTCTACTCCACAAGATTAGTGTTGCTAAAACACTTCTCAAATTTCTAAAATTTTGTTTCCTTTTTTCTAAAGTCCCTAGACTAAGAAGAAGGCAGAACTAATTGGAAATTCAAGACTGAAAATTTACTTGAAATAGAACAAATATAAGTACAGCTTAATACTGTTTAGTTTTATTTTCATTAAGAAATGAGTGCTTCATTTATTGATTAGTTTTTAAACACTGTAAATATGGAATCAAATACTTGGACCAAAATTTGTTTTAATTACCTCAGAATTTGTAAATCTTTATACTTTGGAGGTACATTTGTTTTTATTATTATTACTGTATCCGTGACAGGTTCATGCCCCCTGATGATCCTCTTGGCAGACACGGCCCAAGCCTGGATAATTTTCTGAGGAAGAAACCAATTGTTCCTGAACACAAAAAGCAGCCTTGTCCCTATGGTAACTTTCTTTACAAGTATTTCATATATGCCTTTGTTGTTATTGTTTGGTGCCATTGAATCGGTACCAACTCATAGCGACCCTATGCACAACAGAATGAAACACTGCCCAAATATATGCCTTTAGAGCACCAGATATTGCTAAACTTCCATTAATAAAAATTTCCATTAATAAAAATTTCCATTTTAAGTTTTGGATGGCATAATACATGCTCCTCTTGATGCTAATGAAATTTAAGATCTCAGCCATGCGGGGCAGAGGGCCGCAGAATTCGTTTTACTTAGATGGGTTCAAGTGGATTTCCCTGAATTAAAACATGGTTCCACAAATTCAGTTAATACTTCATGAAGTTAGTTTCTAGATGCATAAAAAATGTGGCATTTCTTACACCTAGGTACAAGTCTGATGAGCATGGTTGTGTCATATTACAACAATACACGTTGCTCTTCAAAACAGAATTTCCTACATGATCATAAAGCCTTCTTGAAAGAGGAGAGTCCCACAGGGTTACCATCCCAAAACTCTGGAGGTCATCATTAATCCACCAGCCAGCTTCCTTATTGCCCTTGACAGTAAAGAATGAGAAGGCTGTAAGGTGCTATATTTCACAAGAGTAAGGAGCACAGTTAACACTTAGCCGACCTCCCATTTCTGCCTTTGTTGTGCAAGTTAAAATAATAGTGCCACACTGGATTTTTTTTCAAGAATCTAGTAGTGTGCGCTTTTGCCTAATTCATTTTTCTCTTTGTAGGGAAGAAGTGTACCTACGGGCACAAGTGCAAATATCACCATCCCGAGAGGGGCAGTCAGCCTCAGCGGTCAGTGGCTGATGAACTCCGTGCCATGTCTAGGAACACAGCAGCCAAAACTGCTAATGAAGGTGGACTGGTGAAGAGCAACAGTGTTCCCTGTAGCACTAAGACCGACAGCACTTCTGAGGTCAAACGAGGTGCTCCAAAGAGGCAATCGGATCCAAGCATAAGGACTCAAGTCTACCAAGACCTAGAAGAAAAGCTTCCCACCAAAAACAAATTGGAAACCAGGTCTGTACCTTCCCTAGTTAGTATACCGGCTACTTCTACTGCAAAACCCCAAAGCACTACATCTCTAAGCAATGGCCTTCCATCTGGAGTTCACTTCCCACCTCAGGATCAAAGACCACAGGGACAATATCCTTCAATGATAATGGCAACCAAAAATCATGGAACGCCAATGCCTTATGAACAGTACCCAAAATGTGACTCACCTGTAGACATTGGGTATTATTCCATGTTGAATGCATATTCCAACCTGAATATCTCAGGCACCCGAAGTCCTGAAAGGCGCTTCTCCTTGGACACGGATTCTAGGATAAGTTCTGTAGCTTCTGACTGCAGCAGCGAAGGGAGCGTGAGCTGTGGGAGTAGCGACTCCTATGTGGGCTACAACGAGCGCTCCTACATCAGTTCTCCCGACCCGCAGCTAGACGAGAACTGGAAGTGTCAACACATGCACCCTCACAGCCGCCTGAATTCCCAGCCCCTCCTGCAGAATTTCCACGACCCCTTAACCAGAGTGCAAAGTTACAGTCATGAAGAACCAAAGTACCATCACAAGCCTCCTCTCCCACACTTGGCTGTGCATCTGCAGCATCCAGCGGTGGGTGCACGCTCCAGTTGTCCTGGTGATTACCCCTCTCCTCCAAGTTCAGCACACTCTAAGGCACCACATCTGGGCAGGTCCTTAGTGGCCACAAGAATAGACAGCGTGTCGGACTCTCGACTCTATGACAGTTCACCTTCCAGACAGAGAAAGCCTTATTCCCGCCAGGAAGGGCTAGGAAGTTGGGATAGGCAGAGTTATGGGATTGACATATACGGCTATCGGCAGACTTACTCCTTGCCTGATAACTCCACACAGCCATGCTATGATCAGTTCACCTTCCAGAGCCTACCTGAGCAGCCAGAACCAACTTGGCGAATACCGTATTGCGGAATGCCACAAGACCCCCCAAGGTACCAAGACAACCGGGAAAAAATTTTTATCAACTTGTGCAACATCTTCCCACCTGACCTTGTGAGAATTGTCATGAAAAGAAATCCTCACATGACAGATGCCCAGCAGCTTGCCGCAGCCATTTTAGTGGAGAAATCCCAGCTGGGTTATTGAAAAGATGACGCATCTTTGTGGTGTTTAGTAGTTTTTTTGTTCAGCTCAAATGCTGAGGGAGGTTTGCTACAATAGCACACGTGATCTCCTTCTCAGCAAGGAGGTTCTATAGTATCCATTTATGTGAAACACTGTATCATGGAATCTGTATGTATAGCCCCACATGGTGGAAGTATCACGGGATTGCTTTACATTCAAACTTTTTTTTAACATTTCCTTTTTAAAGCTATATCCTTGGCTGGAAATTTTTCCAGTTTGATTTACTAGATGTATCTGTGATCTTTGATATTAATCTTTGGTGCATCAGGGGTTTATATGCAGCACTTTTTATCTTTGTTTCCTGTTTTCTTACCTTGATGTTTGTCTATCAATTGCAATCAATTACAATACCTACAGAATGTTGAACATTTGACTAGACCTAGCAAACTGTTTTTTCAAGCCAAGCTTAATTAGAATCTTTTACAGCTTTTTAAGTTATTTTTATTTGGGGAAAGTGGGTTTCTCTGTGCTAGAATCATTATTTATAGAAACAACTGATATAATACAGCACTGACTTTATATTTTAAACAAAACGTAAGTTACCAGTCTATATTGAAATATGGGTAACAGTGTATGTTAGAATGATTTGCAAGATGGCACTTTTTATTGTTTTATTTTTATTTGGATTTTTTTTTCCTGTTTAGTAGTTAGCTAATTTAATATGGTTAATTTAAAGGAAAGCAGATGCAATCAGTGGAAAAAATATTTCCATTTTTGTATGAATAAGGCAAAAGCCGTAACTGTTACAGTTTAGAGCTTTGTTATCCAGCTGGTTTGTGCTTCTAGATGGTAGAAATGGAATTGAATTCCTAGATTTTCATTAATTTGTCTTTTTAATGTGTCAGTCGCTTTGTTTGGGGCACAACAATACTGGATAAAATAACCCTTTCACAATACTTGCCTGTTTTTAATGAATCTAATTATTCTCAATGCAACTTTTCTATTTGATATACTCTTCAGCTTTCCTGTTGTTTAGCAAGGCTGGCCTGAGGTGGTTTTATGTGTTGAGGATATGCAACATTTATTGATACTGCACTATAGAAATGGGGATGGAGGAGTTGTAAATGGTAACTTAAATTTTTTGTAAGATACTGTATATTTTCCATTTTCCTGAGAGTAGATTTTTTGGGGTTTTTTGTTGTTTTGGGGCCTGTTATATTATTAAGGCCAGTTTCTTGCCACAAATAGTATAGTTTTAGATACAGACTAAAGTCTGTTCTAGTATTAGTAAGGGATATTTCTGGTTCCAAGTCATGGGTTTTGCTAGATGCGAATACATTTCTGTGGGTTAGAAGATAGGTTTTTGCAATCAGTGGCGGATAGTGGTGTGATTGACTGAACTTGGACTGTTGCCTCCAGTTTTTGAATTTTAGAGTAACAGCCTCTTGCAGATGGGTTTGTGTAGTCTGCCTAGATGCCCTGGTTATTCTGATTTTTTCTACTTGCTCTATGGTTTGAAGCCCTGAAAAGCCAGAAAGTACCTTTTACTGTTGATACAAATTGTATCTTTTTAACTATAAGAACTATTTTGATTTGTAGATCTAGTAAAAACACAAATGTGTAACTATGATTAGACTTTTTGGGCAACATTTTATCCCTTATTTAAATAAAAATTTTTCAAGTAAAATTGAAGTCTAGACTAGGGTAGAAAACAAAAGTAACAATTTAGATAAATAAAAATGTCTGTCTGAGTTTTATATACTGTACTAAAAGCATATGGAATCAATTTATTGGCATTTTATTTCTCCTAAAACTTACCTAGTATGAACTTAAAATAAAGGTAAAATGCTGCCTGAAAATAATGTCCAAGCACCTTTGACTAGGATAACATTTTCACTACTTGTGTGACACTGTGTGTTGCATGAAGTAGGATTTGGGTATACAGTAAATGCTTCTAAAAGGCATTGTGCATATTGACATATCCAATAATCTGAACCGTGTTCAGCAAACTTAATTCAGGAAAGTGGTGTTCTACACAATTATTGCTGTTGTTTTTTTGCAGTGAGTACAACACTCCTCTGTACCCCTAAGCAGTATAGGTGATGCCCCACAAACTATTCTGAGTGGCGTCTCTCTGAGAGCAGTCCTACTCACTCGTGAAAATTGTTCTCTTTGATTTTGTTGGTCACTACCTACCTGTAGAACAAGTTTAAACGTAGAGGCTAAACCAGTGCCAAAAATAGGGTTACAAATGTGTAGTAACTTTTATTTTAGTCATATTCTAAGAATTTTTTTTGTATGAATTCACACTTTTAAATTGTACATGAAAGGTTTTGCTTCCAATTTCTTCACGTTCGCATTTTAATTATTTGAAGAGAGTCTGCCAAATTCGACTGAAGTCTTTGTGTGAAGGAAGTCCTAGATGAATGTATACCCCACTTTGGCTTTGGTCTTTTCGGTGTTTTGAGGTGATTGACTAGTATGTTGGTTGTTTCATTGATGTCTACACGGTGGAGAAATTGTGTTGTCTGCCACCACCTGTACTGTATAGCTCTGAATTACACATAAGGAATTCCTTCAGTAATAATTCTGAGTTAAGAACTAGCAGTTTTCATATGCCAAGAGGACAATTTGTCCCTTTATTTTGAAGCACCAACATTGCTTTCAAAGCTTAAGGATGAGGTATTGGCAGATTTTAGGCATAGCAAATTCTCAATTATCCAAAGCATTCATTAAAAAGAGTCCATCATTAAATTAAAACCACAGCTGATCCCAAACCTTCATTTTAGCTAAAACTTTTTCCCTAATCAAATTTATTTTTTAACCAGACTTGCTAATAAGTAACCAGAGAGAGGTTTATTAGCAAATAGTGAAATCGCCAGCAGTGATCAGCTGATAAAAGATAAAGGACTCAGATTGCAGTGGTCAGTTGATAAAAGATAATGGACTCAGATTCTAATATTCTGCCCCTGAATAATTGGCAGTTGACTGTACTGTTCACAATAATTAACCAGTTCATTGTCTCTGTGTCTTAGTACAGAGGGAATAGTACCCAACTGGCCAAATACTGGCCCTTAGTATTTCCTTCGTTTTTGCATGTAGTACATAAGTTTTCAAGCTCATTTTTATAATCTCTATATCCTGATACAGTTTGTCGGTGACCTAAACATTTAAAAGAAATGCACACCAGTATAAAAAAGATTTGGTGGAAACTTGAGCTTTGTGTTTTTTATGAAAATTCATTTATGAGAAGATATAATATAAACTAAGAGTGTTTTATATCTACCTATATATATAGATATATATAGACATACCTATTTGTTATGAAGTATTAAAGGGGGGGCGGGGGGTTGTGCTTTTGATGGCTAACTTTTTTCCCTGATTAAACTATGTTTTTTGAGATGTGGATAACCAAGTCTGGGGTCTGGGTGACCAATGATAAGATTTAGAACACTTGAATGGAACGCAACTCTTCACTGGTTCTGTTCCTGGTATTTTTAAAGAATTATTTTGATAATTTTAATAGAACAAGTAATTTTAAAAAGACAAAAAAAAAGCTTAATGTAGTATTGATTATACAGATAATTATTTAACCTGTCTTTTACAGATGTATCTATATGTACATAGACAGTAATATATTTATAAAATAGATACCGTTTTGGTAATGTTGTAGCTATTCACTAGTGATTATAGGAGTGAGGATAGTTAATGGTGTGTGTGTGTGTGTGTGTGTGTGTGTGTGTGTGTGTATGTGTGTGTTTTGGGAAAACTCACAAGCTGTTCTCCTCCCCCTTCCCCCGCCCATGGCATTGGCTCTAATGCATATTTGGTTTTCAGTATTCTTTTTGCTATCACTTACCCAGCCCCCTTCTTCTAGATGAAATTAGATGTACAGTTTTCTGACCATTTTCTTGATGTTGGGTTCCTCCATTTGTATATTATCCAGCTCCTGGGGAAGAATCCCTGGGTGACTGAAATGAAATAAGAATTTAAGGACAGATTAACACCTCTGTTCCAGACTGATGAAGGAGAAACACTTCAGCGATTACATTTCCAGTATAAACACCAAAAAAATAAGACAAAGTATACAAAAGGTGGGTTACACACAAGAAACCAAAGTGTTAAAAAGTAAAGAACCATGCTCATTCTTTTAGATTGGTCTGGGAAAGCCCCTAGAGCAAGGATTAGCAACCTTTTTCTAAAAGTAAAAGATCAGAATCGTTCTGGCTGTAAGAAATCACTCGCTTTTAATGTTACAGCCAGTATGCAAACAAATGAGTGTGTCTGTATTCCAATAAAACTTTATGAAAACAAACAACAGTCCAGATTCGTTCGCCTTTTGGGCCATAGTTGGCTGAGCCCCACCCTACAATGAGGAAAAGAGTCATCTTAGGCAGTAAACCTTGATATATGTTAATATAAGAAAATGTATTTTAGTTGCCATTAAAAGATGCAATGGATGGCCTTCAAAACAAAACTGTGCAAAAAGCATGATTAAAGCTATCTTAATCTATTTATGTTTTTTACATGGGCATCATACCTGTTTATGAGAGACATTTCTTGTGTTTAACCACACACCAAAAAAGTATTCTATAAAACGATGTTTTAAAAAGTATGAAATTTTTTCATGAGCTTTGCATTTACAGTGATAGTTGGGAATCCCTAACTTAGTCTTTGTTCTGTTTTGCTTTTTTCATGGCCTCGTGGACCAAAAATTCTGTTGTATTTTGAAAATAAGCGTATAACTAATTTGCCACAATATATTTTCAAGACTGTATCAATCACTTTTCTGCTGGTTTGGGGCTTCTAGTAAATGATGCATCTCTCATTCTTTGAAAGTGGTTTTAAAGAAGATAAATGTATTACCACTCCCCATACTTTCTAATATTGGATTAAAAATTGTGACTAGTGTAATTTTAGCTATGATGTGAGTGTGTTATTGTATTGTGACTCTGCAAGAAACAAAGTATACCCTTGCTTTTTCTGTCCAGATCTTCAGTCTAGACTTTGTAGACAGTGGTGAACGATACTCTTAATATGATCATGTGTAATTTTAAATTCATTGGAAATACAAACTGCTGAGCGTGTTCATTCTCAGTGTTTTATAAATTGTGTTACATTCATAACATTATCATAAGAACATTAAGTTGTTTTAACCTTATACCATCTACTTAAGTAGTTACACTTAAAAAAAAAACAAAAAACTGGAACACAACACTTCTCTATGTGATTTTAAATGATTAATTCTTTTTTTCTTCAATGTTATGTCTGTTTCCTGGTTTATGACCACCACCACCCCAAGGTCTTTCTTCTTTCAGATTGAAAAACTATCCTCAATTTTTATTTCTATTTTCTATTGACTACTTGGCAGCAGAAAATGTTTGCGCATGTTTTAATAGTTTTACAAAACGGGGAAGTTTCACATTTTTTTACCGTGTACCCTAATTTGCCAATTTTCTGTCCAAATTTTTCAGATGAATAAGAAAATGCTCACTAAAACTTTTTGTCTCCTTTCTTGAAGTAGCTTATGGCTCAAGGGAAAAGGACATTGAAGAAACAAAACATGGGTTTTTATTTTTTTTAATCTTTCTTTAGATTTCCTTCAGTTCTTCAACATTATAAATGTCCTGCCTCACAATGCCCACACACACACTTTATCTTCCAGGTTTGTTCTCCTAAACCATAGCTGTGTACAGGGAGTATGATTTCTAATTTAATCCTTAATTATTTATTCGAAAAGTCAAGTAAAGAATATGTTTAGAGCAATCATCTGATACACTGATGTGATTTTATTTATTCTGTTATTTGTATCTCTGTAATGGAATTTCTACAGCTCCAAAAATAGTAATTTAGACTTACTGTAAATCCATATCAAGGCAGATGGCTGCCACTGAGGGGGAGAAAAATTAAAAAATACATTTTTCTTATGATGACTGGCTTTTTATTTCATGAAAGGATGGACCTCATTCACCAGTGCAGGTTCTAGAATATTAGAGTCTTGCACTTCTCTAGTTCATGCTTGCCTGCCCTTGGGGGCTAATGACATGACATGTGAGTCTTCACTCAGATAAGCACAGGTGGATACCAGTGTAAGTGTCAGAGCCATAAAACCTCATATGCAAAGTCAAATTAAATGCTGAAGGTAGCTAGTCAGACCCTAAATCACGGGAGTAGTTTCTTTCTAATCTGTCACCAAGTTGGTTCTGGTGATTTTCAACAGGTCGTGGCGATGTCTGTTTAAAAGAGGCCGTGTCCAGTGAGCATATGAGAAGTGCTGATGACATTGATGGTGTCATTCTTGATTGTGATGACCACCAAACAGTTACAATTGGAAAGATCTGTACCTGTGGAGTAGCACTTCAACACACAGTATGCATTTGGCCACCTCTGAGGCTGTAGGTATTTGAAGTCAAGACAGACACTAAACGTCAACATGAATAAGAAAGGACTTTTGAAAACAGACTGAACACATCCTAAGGGATAGAAATGGAAATGTGTATCTCTTTCATAGTGAGGCTAAAAATAGCTTCTGAAAAATGCTCTTCCTCTGAGAAAAACCTCCACAGACTTGGAAGAGATTCAGACAGCTTTCAGGTATTCAGTAGTAAGATAGGATATTACTGTGATATATACATCCATACATACAAGTGAGGGCGCCTTTAAAAGTACGTAGAAAATTCCATTCTTTTCATTCCTTTTTTCCATAAACTTTATGAAACCTCCTCATACTTACATACAATATATTGGATTTGGGCTCATAACCTATCAAGGGTTTTTTGTTTGTTTTGTTTTTTTTCAGTCATGGGTATAACATGGGGGTGATACCCAGTGATACCCTGTCATAGGTATGTGGTCACAAAGTAAATTGTAGGCAGGATGCTAACTCATAAGGAGGTCTGGCAGCATAGTGGTTACGATATGGCCTGCTAACCTCAGGATCAACAGTTCGAAACTACCAGACGTTCCAAGGACTAAAGATGAGGCTTTCTGTTCTCATAAAGATTTACAGCCTCAGAAACCCTAAACAGGGTCATTATGTGTAGGAACCGGGTCCAAAGTACACCACCACTACATCTACCTGGTTCTTACTCAGTAAAGCAGGAACCTAGACTTTGGCCCAACTCTTGTAGCCCTGGTGACTCAGTTGGTTACCAACTGAAGTCAGTGGTTCAAGCCCACCAGCCACTCAGCATGAGAAACACATGGTCGTCAGCCTCATAATGATTACAACCTCAGGTCTGTAGAGTCTCCGTCAACTCAACTACAATGGGATTCAAGAAAAAAACTGTCTTCCTACCCTAGTTCTAAAAGTTTCCTATTAATAATTACCCTAAATTTCTGGTTTTGAGACTGATGCTATTGCCTCAGATGGCTGGCTGTGTCTCCCTGCATGAATCCAGCTTTATGTGGTATCGATGTCTCCCCAACCCACCTCCTGTACTCCCCCAGGTTCACTTTTATGACCTTTAGGAAATGGAAATAATTTCAGAAGTGGTCACAAAGCCAAAATGGCACTAATGCCCTTCATATTTAACATACCCATATCCTATGTCAAAACAGAAGTAACAAAATACCACAAAGTGTGCGGTTTTAAAGAACAGAGTCTCAGTACCAGAGGCTAGACATCCAATGTCATGGCATTGGCAAAGCTAGGTTTTTTCTACAGACTCTTAAGACAAGGTAGGGAACCTTTTTTCCTGCCAAAATTTATAACCTCATTCACGCATACAAATTTTTCAACTTAAAAAATTAGCCTGCTATATATATTTGGTAAAACATTTGATGAACTCACCCCAGGACTCCTGATGTGGCACTGGTCTGTGATCCAGCACTGGACTGTGATCCACAGGTCAGCAATTCAAACCCACCAGCTGCTCTTCCGAAACTCTACACAGGAATGCTATGAGTTGCAACCAACTAGAC